CTGACATGTAAAAAGAATGCCACGCCCCCCCCCCAACAAAACCCCTCAGTACAGCTTCCAACTCAGATCTGAAAAACGACCGTGGATGGCTGTTTTCTGACTGGCCGGCAGACCGCCGACCGGTCGGCCCTACTGGTCCTCTGCATAACGGTCGGCGGTCGTGGTCGGCGGTAGGCAGGTATGCAACCATGCTGACATGTAAAAAGAATGCCACGCCCCCCCCCCCACAAAACCCCTCAGTACAGCTTCCAACTCAGATCTGAAAAACGACATTGGATGGCTGTTTTCTGACTGGCCGGCAGACCGCCGACCGGTCGGCCCTACTGGTCCTCTGCATAACTGTCGGCGATGGGGGTCGGCGGTAGGAAGGTATGCAACCATGCTGACATGTAAAAAGAATGCCTACGCCCAGTGCTATATACGTGCCATGTGCAAAGAGTGGTTAATAGCAGCTGTGTCGTTTGGATTCCTGCTTGAACCTTGCTTCCATGTTTGCAAACACGAAGAATTGCGAAGACAAACAAGCACAAACATATGTGTGCTTCTCATCTTCTTCCTGGCGCTGCAAGGCTGCTGCGTGACTCTGCTTGTAGTAACAATGTTATTATAACGAATATGACCATCTGTTTCGACTCGAGATGGTTATTGTTATGAGCTGATCAACCCTCCTATCGTGAATTGTTTATGTTGGAACATCCTTCTCCTGATGCTTTCCTGTTCCAGATCATTGCAAGCTTCGACCCTCGACCTTCTCGTGCGGAGGGATATTCCTCCAGACAACAAGCGCTACGAACTCTTCTCCACTCTGTGATCAAGGTAAGTGGGCAGCCATGTCAGCTCTACCCTGCTTTCTGGTGTAAAAAATCTCCATAACAGAATGAAACGTCTGAATGATAAAGGCAATCAGGATAACCTAAACCAGAGGGGCGAGGGGCGAGGGGCGAGGGGCGAGGGGCGAGGGCCAAGGGGTTGGACAGCAGGGGGGGGAAAGAGGGCGAATAGGGAAGTTGCTGTGACCATGGGCAGCATGCCCAATGTTCATTGCCACAGGACGCAGGTCAAGGGAGAGAGAGCATGGAGCTCAATGAAGTTGTGAACTAATTTTTCCATCTTGCAATTAGTCAGCTGTCATAACCACACTGCATGAATGAAGCTTGGATATCAGCAGGGCACAACAAAAAGGTTATGCCATCAGCAGACATCGAAAGTCCCCATGTGCAGATGGGATCAAACAGCACGTTATCAGGAAGAGGGGGGAAGTGTGACCCCTAAACTCCGTCGTGGTGGAACTGCATACGGAATCTGTCCTTTTTTTCCATTCAGATGCATCCAGGAAAGCACTAGAGTGAGTATGCACATACATAGGTTATCTTGTCCTACGTTAAGCATGGGCGTAGGAGGAGAGATATTATGCCATCAGCAGACATCAAAAGTCCCCATGTGCAGAGGAGATCAAACAGCACAGCATCAGGAAGGGGGGGGAAGTGTGACCCCTAAACTCCCTCTTGCTGGCACTGCATACTGAATCTGTCCTTTTTTCCCAGTAAGATGCATCCAGGAAAGCACCAAGTGCGTATGCACATACATAGATTATCTTGTCCTGCGTTAAGCATGGTCGTAGGAGTAGAGATATTCTATGACATACATTATCTGTCTGTCTGTTGTGAAAATTCCCCCTTTTTCTCTATACTTCTTTCCAGACACCATCTGCAGGTAGAACTTTTGCTGGCGAAACAACCTGGGGACTTCTTTGGCAGTTCTCATGTCTTTGGTTTCTGGAGGACCTCTTCCCGAGTCCATTCTTCCCAGTTTTTTTGGGGGGGAAGGGGGGGGGGGGGGGGGGGGCAGGGGAGGTGGGCCTGGACGAGGGAGTGGTGAGAGTCTCTCATCTCTCATCTCTCATCTCACTCGTTTGCTGGTGGATCACAGTTTTTAGCACCCTTCTCACCACTCCTATGGTGTCCCTGCTGTCTTCCCCTGAACACAACGCGCGCTAGTCGAAAGCCTTCGGCCTTACGTGGTTGTGAATGTATACAAGCTGTAAGCCTGATACAATTCAGTCGTATCGAGGATGTGTTGTGTTCGGGAAACATTGTACAATTCAGTCGTATCTTGAGGATGTGTTGTGTTCGGGAAGCATTGACAGTGGTACGGGTTCGCTGGGTTGGTGTTGAGCATTTGCCTCTCTTCCAGCACTCTCTACTATAGGTTTGTTGTGAAGGAGCCAGGTAACTCGTTTTGGGGCGTGGACAGATTTTGTGTCTATCCCCCGAAAAGAACATACTGCATGGGTCCTGGAGACCATCTCACGCAAGTGTGTACATGCCATGCATCGTTCTCCCACACACATCGAACAGTAGTCTGATAATAGACAAA